TAACTGTGGTCTATCCACTTCTCTTCTAAACATGGGCGTATGTGCTCCTCACCAACAGTTTGCTTTTTTGATGCTGTGATTTGGACAGTTTGAGGGTCACTGAATGTTATTTTCTGGATATCTTACAGTATTAAGTTATTGGTACATAATACAGAGTAAGAAATGTAAATACACTTTAGTTATTAACTTACTTTTTGAAATGGCATGTAAAAATAATGCCTACCAATGAGTTATTTTAAATTTGATTAACAATCCTTACTTTTACCAGTACCTTATATTTGTCAACTACTTTTCCAAATATAGTAACTTACACACCACACCAGATTTCAGCAACAGAACATGAATTTGAGCAGAAGTCTGATCCAAAGCTCTGTTTAATCAACGGTGCCAACACTTGACTGCGTACTGGGAGGAGTATTGTCTACTTTCTATACCAAGAAACTCCTGAATTGAAAACATTTTTCATTGATTCTAGTGAATGGGTGTTCAAATGAGCACAGTTCATGTATCCATTTCTCCCTTCCATTGGTGCCTCAAAATTCCACAACTATAAACAGATTTATTCCAAGATTTTTGGTACAGATTATGATGAATGATATCATTGATATGAGAAAATTTTTTTAAAAATACAAGTGTAACTTTTTTCTCCTAAAAGGTAGACATTTTTTTACTCCTGACAAAACAATTTTTTAATAACTAATGCAGCCAATTATACAAACTATAACTACATCTCAAAGGACTTTGTTCATAACAATAGCACCTCTTGGGGTTACAAAGTGATACTCCATCCTTTCCTTAGTATTGTGCTAGTATGGAATAATGTGGTCTTCATCCCACACGAAGTCTATCATAAAGAAATGGTTAGTCGGATGTGATAAACACCAATCATCTCTTGCTTATTCTATACTACAGTATGCCATGAACTGATGTACTATTACACTTTGATCTTGATCGGTTAATCCTCTGATACTAACATGATTTTTAAAGTCTCCATAAATAGAACATTAGCTGGAAACACCAATATCCTTACTGGAATAATAACTCAGAATGTAAATCTCAGTTATTGAAAATGAACTTTCAATGTGCATGCGGCTCTTAACTCCAAATAGAATGGAATATATGATGCATTAGTATCTATCTGATTTGGCAACACAAAACTAGAGGGAGATAATAAGATCATCTAATAATGGAAAAATATCTTATAAGTATTTAAATTCCTGGAATTTACCCCTCAAAAAATAGTCTAAATGCTTTTAGCTCACAGTTTAGGAGTGCAGCTACAGAACAGAGTTCTGAGTTATTCAGACTCTATCATAAAGTGTAAATTGATTTTTTCTTTACTTCTCTCTTACTGTGTAAAATGAGTTTTTCATTGTATTTTAAGAATCTCATGGTAATAAAATTTTAAGAATCTCATGGTTTCTCTGATGGTAATAAAATTCCTATTTTTAGAACATGTTATTCAGTTTTAATATTTTATATGCAAAACCCAAGATTTTATCATTTAATGGATGTTTAATTATATGTATACTATGACTAGTTCTTCAAAACTGATGGAACTGTCTTCAGTAGGTACTGTGGAAATAGAACTTCTTGATAAAATCACTGCTGCCTACACAAAGAGTGACACAACCTGCCTGGAAGCCCAACCCCATCCGCCGGCTAGCAAGGCCCGTTACCAGTGCTTCTCCTTGCTGCTACCCTGCCTGAAGTCTGAGTGCGCTAGCGCTGGGCAAGGGGAGGCTCCTGCTTAGGTTGGAAACAGGAAGTGGTATGCAGCTCTGCTCTGCACGGCTAAGGGAAGCTGTGAGCAACAGCAGGCAAGCCTTGAACGGGGTTAGAAGCAGATAATGGCTTTTTCTCTTCCGTGTAGTAGGGAACTAACCAGTTGGGTGAGGGTGGTGGAAACAGGGGAGAAGGAAAAGTAGAGCCCGGAAGGGACTGTCACACTGAGAGAAGGGCCGGCAGAGAGCAGCGGGGCTTGGCAGGCTGAAGAGAAGAGGTGACCTGGGAGATGTGGAGGGATCGTGGGCTCTGAGGAAAGGTTTTTAAACTGAAGATTTTTGCAGATGGGAAGCGGCTAGGGGAGGGGAAAGGAGGAGATGTGGCCTGTGCGCGTACCGGTGCCCCCAGGCAATACAATCATTAGCATCATCAACCACATAGTAATAACAAAAATTTTTTAAAGACTTTTTGCAGATTAAAACGTTCAGTAGATTTTGACTAGAAGCAGAGCTTCACATTTTCTGAAGCAACTCTTTTATGATTTTACCAAGAAGCACTGGTAACGGACCTTGCTAGCCCGCACGTGGGGCTGGCTCCACTGACTATGCAGACCTTCCCCAGATGTGCTGCTTCTTCCAGGCAGATCGTGTCACTCTTTGTGTAGACGGCAGTGATTTTATCAAGGAGTTTTATTTCCACAGTATCTACTGAAGACATTTCCATCATTTTTGAAGAACTAGTCATAGCATACATATAATTAAACATCCATTAAGTGATAAAAATCTTAGGTTTTGCATATAAAATATTGTATGTGCCTAGAGGCTGTGTTTGGCTTTTGTATGTGTTTGGCTTGCTTCAGTTCATTCTACTGACACCTCCAAAATTTTCATAACCTGAAAGCTTTACTGAGTGAGGGTTGGTCCCTCCGGAGTATTGATGTTTCACAATCCATGAAGTTTTTTATTCCAATTTTCAATGGTTCATCATTTTATTAAGGGTGTCCCATTCTTCATGTTTTTGAAATTCCATCAGATACACAAAACTTTTGCCAATATTTTGTATTCCATTCAGTAGCTGCAAAGCCAAAGGGGAAGGAAGTACAATCACCTTGTTTGGCAGAACCAGCCTTCATTGTGGAGCCTGGGCATGCAAACCCCGAACAAAAATTTCCTGCTTCTAGAACTTGGCGATGACAGTCCTGCCTTCTGGTAAAAGTAATTATTTAAAAATAACATTCATCACATCACAAATCATTTTTAATTCCCCATTCTCAGACACAGCACCCGAATAAGTTCTTTAAGATCATCACTCTACTATAGGCCTTGGTGAATCTCCAAATGGCACACAGAATTGATTCTAGGTCATTTCAAGTGCCAAAATCTGACCTCTCAGCCTTTGATGCCACAGGAGATCTTGACAGCACTATTGACTACCTTGAGTCACAGAACAACCTGTTTTAATTTGACTCCAGAAAGCCTATGTCCTGGAGCACAGTGATAAACAAGAATAAATCTGGACAGGATTTTCTATAGAGTATATTTTCAACATGAAATATACTAAATGATATAGTATATATACTATATACTAAATATACTAAATACATCTAAATGCCAGATCTAGTCCAGTAAACCCTAAGCTGTATAAGTATTAATCACTGATGATTATCAGAAACACACCACCTACCAGTGAGCAAGTGCTTCCATCCACCTTAGCACCAGAAAAGAGGTAAACGGGAAAATGTGTGAAGAGCTATAAATTCTTCATCTCTTTTCCCACAACCATAATAAGCAGCAAAACTTGCTGAAGGTTGAAATAGGTACCTGAGGTTTTATGTTCTATATCCCTGAATATGCCAGATAATCTTCCAGCACTGATTTTGTAATGTTCTGCCTTCCATGGTTTTAAATACTGCAAGGAAATACATTTCTTCTCTTCTTCGTGGGAGATTAATTCTCCACCTTTAATACCATATCCAATTTTTCAAGTACCTATGTAAGTTTTTTCTCACAGTGGAAGTTTCACATGTCAAACTTTTCCTACTACTCTCTGATGGAATTTTATACATTGAAATAAAAATATATGCTATCCCCAACTGGTAATATCTTGCATATGTGAGCAGTGAGATGACTTTAGCTATTGAAAGACAAGCAGAAACTCATTTCCATGACCATTAAAAACCATTTCTTCCTCAAAGATAGAAAAAAGAAGTAAAATTATCTTTAAAAGGAAAATCACGGGTTTTAAAAACTGCAACTATTTTCTGGATTATATGACATGGAAGGAAATTATGACCCACTTAGAAGCATTTGAGATGTTCTCAGGAATTGTATAAGCTGTCATTATTTCCTGGTGTTATTCACTTTTATCCTTCTTTTATTTTTATTTTCATTCATTTTCCTCTATTTGACACCAGACTCAACCGACATATTTTTCTGCAATCTATAATTTGTTTTGTAAGTATTTAAATACAAATCTTGATGTTGATATATTTTATGTTGGGAACAAACTTGGAACTACATAGGGTGTGTGCATGTACATGTTTAATTTATCTAAAACCAAGGAAAATTATAGTAACATTTCCAAGGCAGAGTACTCGTATTACACTTTTAAGGTAGAATATCTTTTAGTTGATCTTTACACAAAATCTGATTTATAGATGCTAGGGCCCACTGGCAAACAAACATCAGCAATGTCACAAAACACAATACTTTCTGCTGTATATAAAAGCACTGTGGATAAGAGTTCCATAATGTAAGTGGAACTATCGTCGCTGCGATACTATTTTGATAATACGTGCTAGGAAAATAGAGAAGTAAATTTTTCATTAAACAGATACATTTATTATAGAGACTTTTCTGTAACTTGATAGGCAAAAATTGGGGAAAAGAGAGGGTTTTTCAAATACATAGTGTATCTTGAGATCTTCTTGCTTTAAAAACAAGAGCAAAAGGAAAAAGGGAAAAGCACCGCAGAAACTGCCGGGAGGAAAGTAGGACATACCACTGGTTATTCCTTCCTCCAGCAAGCATATCTTTTTCACTTCATCGCAGTCCAAATGGGTTTGGCCAACCAGACTTCCACTTGGTGGTTTGCAGCCCTGGCTTCCCCATCGTGGGCTGTCTCCGTGTCCCCGGGCTTCCTCTGCTAGATCTTGGGCATTCTTCCAGAAAGCTGGTAAAAAGGCAAAGTGGAGAGTATAGCATGGCACACTTGGTGACCGGCCTCGGCGGCACTGCACACCGCTGCCCGCTACACCTTTGGGCAGAACCGGGAAGATGGGGTCACCTAACTGCAAGGAGGATCAGAGTATCTTGCTTACAGGGAGGGTGCTTGTGAATCAAACATAGGATTGATAAATGTTGTGCTTTACATTGGGTCCTGCAAAAAAAATGTGAACGTTCTAATTTCTGTTTTTTAGAATGGGACCTTATTTGGTGGGAAGTCCTTCACAGATGTTAAGCAAGTTAACAAGAACCTATTCACATGGTCACTATTCCAAACGACTGGTGTCCTTATAGCAAGAAGAAGGTTCTGACATGACCTAGACACCAGTACAGAGGGACAAATCCAAGCCAGCACTGAGGAAGTGGCCAGCCATGTACAAGCCGGGAGAGCCTGGGGCACGGGGTCTGGGAGAGAGACCTGGACCCAGCTTTTCCAGCCCCTTGCAAGGGGGCACAGCTCCCCCAACTCCTTGGTTTCAGGGTTCTGGCCACCAAAACACCAAGGCAACAAATTTTTATTGTGCCAAGCAGAAAAAAACAAAGCAACAATAAACCCAACATGGAGGAGAACAAAGATAAAAACGAGAGTGGAATTGTCAGTGGAAGCAACACCAGCCAGGCCAGAAGACAGTGGCTACAAAATCCAAGCCCGAAAGAAAAGGAGGAAGAAACTTTTGATCCTGAATCCCTCATTTTGCAAAAATGAAAGGATAGGAGCATTAACCCTGAAAATGTTTTGCATTCTTTGTGGTCATGTGGAGCTGTTTGAAATAGAACTGTTTTCACTGAGTCTCTAAAACCAGAAAGACAATCCTAAACTAAAGATAGATATCCTTTTTCTTGAAAACTGATGAATTATTTCTTAATTTATACACTAATTGATAACATGAATAAAACTACAATGCATTGAGAATATTAGTAAAATAGTCACTAAAGCTGAATCACTAAACTGTTTCACAACTTTGTAAATGGCTAGAAAGACTTTACACAACAGTTGGCTGTACTTTGCCTTTTACTTCTTAAAAATACCCACTGACAATCCTAACAGACATATGTTCGGATGCACAAAACCCATTTTAAAAAATAAGTGGACAATCCAGTTTTCTTCAACTACACCCACTTTTGAAGCAGTAAAACCTTGGCATCTGCTTTTTCTTCTGCATATTTTAAAAGAAAATTACTTACGTGGTCTCCCGCTTTTTGAGAGAAGGATGACTGTAGTCACCCAGGAACTCCATCTGGTCCATTGCCTTTTTTTTTTTTTTTTTTTTTTTGGTTTTTCTCCGGT